CTGCGATGGTTTGTCTGTACTTTCACGTCTGCGCCCATCAGGTAGCACCGCCACACTTTGAAGGCGTGCACGACCGCAAGCATTTCCTTATCGTGTATCAGATAATTTCGCTCGGGCGCGTGTAACTTCCGTGACTCGTACGCGATTGGCTGTAGACCTTCGCCGAGATCGCTGGCATCTGTGATTACTTCGAATGGATGGTAAGGATCAGTAATGCAAAGGACAGGGGCTGAGCACATAAAAATTTTGAGCGCGGATAAAGCAGCTTGCTCTTTCTCCCCCCACCTGTACTCAATCCCTTTCCACCGCAGGTCAGTTAACGATGCAGTTACCCCCGCCATAAAAAGCTTTGCAATTACCCCCGTTAGTTCGGGATAAATTGTCGAACATAATTGACGAACCCTAAAAAGCTTTGCAGCTCCTACAGGTTCTTATGCGGCAGCCAGGCTTGCATTGTCTCGATTTTGCACGGGTTCACTTCGACGCCCTTAGTGGAAATAACATGTCCCGGAAATTTCAAGCGGTCATTTTAAAACTCGCACTTAGATGCCTTCGTGAGCAGCCGATGCTCCTGCAATAGCATGAAAACTATTTGGAGGTCGTTTAAGTGCTGCTCCTAGGTCTCGCTCTATATCAGTATGTCATCCAGGTAGACAATAACACACTTATCTACGAGCGAACTGAAGATCTTGTTCACGGTCATCTGAAATGTTTTCGGGGGCGTTCGTCAGACCGAAGAGCATAACTACATACTCGAAACTCCCGTACCTAGTACGAAACACGGTCTTGTGACAGTCAGTTGTATCTACGCGAATCTGATAGCAACCCCCTCGTAAACCTATTTTCAAGAAGAAGCGAGCTTTGCAAAGTCGGCCGATCAGATCGTCGGCGCACCGGATAGGTTAGCGCGACTTGATAGTCACCATTTTTCGTGCTCTGTATTCAGTGCACATTCGGTACCCGCCGTCTTTCTTGGGGGTGAACAGTATGGGGGCGGCAAATAGCTAGAAGCTCAGGCGGATGATTTTTTCTCCAGTGAATAGTCTAGCTGCTTCCGTAATTCTTCTAACTCCGGATGTGTCAGTCAAAATTGCCGCTGCACTGTGGGCAGTGTCCCGGGTTCTAATTCTATTCAATGGTCGAAGGGCCATTCCGGTGATAATCCCTCAGGTAGGTCGTTTGGAAATATCTGCGGAAATCTGTGAATCGGCTGCGCTAGATCAGCCGGCACTACTGTTGTCACCTTCTCTAAATCGAACGGCTGTGATGCCATGTCGACGGCGCTAACGACTACAGCGAAGAATTCTGCGCCCCGTGTGACCGCTCGTTTGATCGCCACGGAGTTCACCCGCGTCACTCCCCCTGTGATCTCCTTCGTCCATTCTGGTAACATCACACTGCGGTCGTTGATTTTGACGGAACAGCTGTCGGTCGTCTAGTCAATTTTTGTATTAAAGCGTCGCAGTTAATCCCACCCAAGCAACATGTCGAAGTCGTCGAGTGTAGTTGCCAGCATCCCCATCGAAAAATTGAATTCTACTCCACAGCGTACCCTAATCTTGTCCGCCCCATCTTTTATTGCTAATGGGGTCCCGTCGACTAGTCGGGCGTCAATCTCTGGTAGACACCTATCTAAGGGTAACTTTCCTTTTCTTTTTCTTTTTGGTCGTGGCGAGGTTGATCCGGCTGTGGCTGGCTCCCCCTTCCACAAAGATTTTATTTTTTTCCCTTGAACCCTACCCTACGAATAAATAGGGTAATCTGCCGCTGCACCCTCCTTATTCAGCCGAATTCGATCGATTGCCTGGATTGGTACCAGTACTCGACGAGGGTCATCTGTCACGGGCGAGCAGGTTCCATCAGTAGTGGGCCCGTTAACTATTGATACTAAGCGTTTCCCTGGTCTTTGAAACTCTCGTGCCCCTGATTCTGCTTCTTCCGTCCTCTGGGCATTCCGACTTGCGGTGTCCCGGCTTGTTACACCCAAAACAACGACCTTTGACTGCTGTAACTGTTGAGTTCGATGTTGTAACAGCGTGTACAGTGGCACGTTCGATTGGTCCCCGAGTGCGACTTTTGCATAGGAACCCACCCTTGGCTTGAAGAACGAATCCAACGGCTCCGTAACCCTCTGCGGCTCCATCAAATCCGTAATTTCTCTGACTTGTATTTCCCTGCGCAGATTCGGTCGAAGTCCCCCGATGTATCTGTTGAACTTCTCGTCAGTGTGAATGTAGCCGACAGGGTAGCATAAATTCTTGAAGCTGCTGGTATAGTCCTGGAACCATCCGAGTTGGCGCCACGTGCGAAGGCGGCCGCGCGCTGGCTGCTTGCGTTGACGTATTCAAAGCGGCAACAAATTCCCGCGCACCACGATTGTCACGTGCTGTACTCCTCCACCTCGCAATAACTTCTTGCCTAGTGATTGGTTGTGCAAAAACGCCCGATCACACGTGTCGGCGTATCCGGCTCCTGCATCTGAATTATCTGCTGCCATCAATCCATCGCCGGTCCACGTAGGACCGACACAGCGTATCGGATTTTTTGCGCATCGTCGACGACACGGTTGCAGTCATAAAAAACGTTCAAGTAAAAATCCACCCGCTGACGGACAAACTGCCACACTGGCTTGGGTCGAACGTGGGAATTCTTAAGAATTCCTGGCGCCATGTTGATACTGTTAGAAGACTAACTTAGCTAGGAAGTTAGGCGGCCATGAAATGGAGAGAGGTTGTACCCTCTACAGTAGGATCCAGCAAGACCTACCAAGCCTACAAATATATACCTATAAAATATAATTTAACAGAGACTTGGAGTTTGCAGGCCGATTGGTGAGGTAATTGGGGGCGGCAGATTACGTTCGCCCCTTTGCCAAATTCGCTTGTCCAATAGCCAGTGGTGGGTTGTTCGTCGAACCCTCGAGCGAAGCCGCCTGTGATCGCTGATGTTAAAATTATATATTGTGTTATATAATTGTTAGGCTTGGCAGGTTACTGAACTTTACTGTAGAGGGTACAACACCCCTCCTTGTATCCCTCTCTCTTCTATTCCCAACACCTTTTCTCTCCTCAACTTTTCTCCTTTCTAAACCTCACGCCACTCCATGGCTCCTCCTAGCTAAACCTCATGCCTTTCCTAGCTTCCTAGCTAAGCTAGCCTTTTAACATGCTATCAGAGCAGGAGGTCCTCCCTGCTGGACCGCCTCCTCACGCTTCCGCCGCGTATTCCTCACCCTCGTTCGCTCGCGCGGCCATGGCGGCCACGTTTTGCTGCAGTGGCGGCGTCGTGATGCCGCTGGCCGCGTCGTGCCGCGGCCGTCTCGACGCGCTGACGTGGTGTCGGGCCGTCGTGCTGCCGTTGCAGCGTCGACGTCCCGCCGCGGCGTCGACGCCGCTCTGTGACGGCGTCGTCGGGCTGCAGCCGGCCGCGCGACGCCTGTGGCGCCGCTAGACCGGCCGCCCGCATGTCAGCCTGTGGCGCCCCCCCCCCCCCCCCTCCTTCCCCTGTGTCCTCTTCCTTTCCGCAGACGACGGCTGACTCCCGCCGGCCGTCCCACCATCGCGGGGCCTGGCCACGTCACCGAGAGGTGCGGGTGTCGCCGCCGTTGTTGTCGAAGCCGCCGCCGCCGCCGCTGTCGCCGCTTGCGTCGGGGCCACGCAGCCGCACGCCGCCGCCGCCGCCGCTGTCGACACTGCCGCCGCTGCCGCCGTCGCCGCCGCAGCCCCTGCGGTCGACGTCGCCGCCTCACGCGCCGTGGGGTCGACCAACCTAGTGTCGCTGTCACTGTGGCTAGGGGGTGTGGGTGTGTGTGGGCATGTGACTACCAAGCCTAGGGGGTGTGTTAAAATTATATATTGTGTTATATAATTATTAGGCTTGGTAGGTTACTGAACTTTACTGTAGAGGGTACAACACCCCTCCTTGTATCCCTCTCTCTTCTATTCCCAACACCTTTTCTCTCCTCAACTTTTCTCCTTCCTAAACCTCACGCCACTCCATGGCTCCTCCTAGCTAAACCTCATGCCTTTCCTAGCTTCCTAGCTAAGCTAGCCTTTTAACAGCTGATTGTCGCCGGGTATTTCAGAACGCTGCTATGTTACTTGCTCCTATTGTCCTTGGTTTGTCGTTGGTGCGATCGTGTCGTGTTGTGTCGTGTCTGAGGCATTCGGCTCCACAATGCAGATCTCGGATTCAGCTTGGGCCATTTCAGCTCGCAGATGCGCCAACTCCTGTAGATACAACTCGTGGGTGAGACAGACTTCTTCGAGTGCTGCCGCCCTTTCTTGAGGATTCATGGCGGTAGACACCGACGGATCCACCATTTCGCAGAAACCTTTGGGCGGCTTTCATCGTGCTGGCTCTGTGAACACAGTCGTGGCTCTAGGTAATGATCAATTACTAATATTACCAAGACATTGGATATGGAGTAAGCACAGGGCGTCAGCCTCCCTAAGTGTCGGTATTGCAACGGAACTAGAGCGCAAGGCTAAGGATCGTTGGCTCTGATGGCCAAGTGTAATGAAGCGCAAAGAGCGTGTGTCGAAGGTTTGAGTAACGAGGAATCAATACAACTGAGGCAACATCAAAACAGTAGAGAGAGCACATGGTCATGGCTTGGCAGAGGTGCGACATGTGGTTCTTAAATTGGCGCGAAGCGCCGAGATCTAGGCATGAAACAGCAAGGGGGGCAAAATGCATGTGGCTCGTCAGGAGGCCACATTTGGGTACCGCGATTTGAATTTAGTGGTAGAGCTGCGCGACAACCCCGTTATAGCAGTGTACGCTTTACTAACTAAACATGTGATAAGGAAATACCATTTCCTTTCACGAGTATACGATATATCAACGAGCTTTGATTAAAACTAACTGACTAACGTGTGCTTTTGCATCACAACCACGGAACATGAAACACACAATAGGGAAGGCAGACAATGGTGTGATGGTGGATGCAATCAGGACATTTAAACCGACTCGAACCGAATAAACACCATCCTTGGAAAGCACAAGCCAGGACGACCTTAGGTTGTACCGAGATCATCAGGCGGCGTCACGCGGCCCATTTTCTGCCACGTGTCATGCAGTTAGGTTTCTCTCGCTGTCGAATTTCTGCTCGGTTTGCGCCGGGCTGTGGTGTTCGTTTCTTATTTTGCGTGTTACAACTTGTTGCTCTGCGGTGATTAGCTGAGAGATCGGCAGAGACCGACTTTTTCAAAATGGTAAGATTCCACAGGGCCTGTTTATATTCATGAGCCTCAAAAGCGTATAAACGACTAAGATTCTTTCAGCACCGTTCTAAAGCTTCGCCAATTTTTACTCACCCTCACTACCCGTCGTCGCGTCATCCTCGCTCCTAACCCTCCTCCCCATCCCCCTGCATCCGCTTCCCCTTCCCTTCCTTCCCCTCCCCACCCCCTGCGCCTTCCCTCATTCCCCTCCTCGCCATCGCCCGGGATTTTCCGGAACTTTCCGGAAAATGTTTTAACACTTTCCGGGCTTTTCGGCCACCATCGCGTGGAAGGCGCTTCAAAAGGGTGTCCGTTATAAGGTGCTTCAAAACACGCATTCCTCCCCCTCCCCCCTCCTTCCCCCCTCCCTCCCCCCCTGCGGCCCACATCCCCCCCCTTCGTCCCCGCTTCCCCATTCCTACACCTCACGCCCAGTCTTCGGCCTTCAACCGCTCGCCAGGACAATTCGTGGACAACCGCGGCAAGTCAGCAGGGAGTTCAGGCCGAACCGCCGCCTCCAACCCTCTCCCCGTCATCCCCCCCCCCCTCCTCCCCTCCTCCCTCTCCCCCCAACACACCTCCCCACCCCCCCTCCTCCCGTCCCTCCCTCCCAACCTCTTTCCCCCCAGTCGTCGTCCCTCAACCGCTCTACAGGACAATCCGTGCACAACCGCAGCAAGACAGCAGGGGGGTCAGTGGGCCGAGCCTCTGCCTCCAACCCTCTACCCGTCATCGCCCCCCCCCTCCCCCCTTCCCCCTCCGTCCATCTCCCCCCCCCCCACACAACCTCATTCCCCCCAGAGTTCATCTTTCAACCGGTCGCCAGGCCAGTCCGTGCACAACCGCGGCAAGACAGCAGGGGGGTCAGCGGGCCGAGCCTCCGCCTCCGTTCCTGCGGTCCTGGTAACTGATCCCGAGCCTCTGATTGGTTCTGGAGTTCCCGATGCTGCTGTAACACCCAATACCGCCCGTGCTGCTGCTGGTGGTGGTGGTGGTGCTGCTGCTGCTGCTGCTGCTTCTGCTGCTGGTCTTGCTGGTGGCGCTGCTGCTGTGGACGCTGGTGGTGAGATGAGAGATGCGAGAAGAGGGGGGTGGGACGAGGGAGCCTGGTGGGGGGGGAGGGGAGGAGTCACAGCCGGAGGAGGGATGGCAGTCGAAGATACCGTGCCGTTGCTTCCCAAGCAGCTGCACTTTGAGCAGCTGCCAGCCCCGGCCCTTTCCCAGCCACCCTACGGCCAGGAGCAGCAACAGCAACAGCAACAGCAACTGCAATCACCGTATTTGCAAGTGCATCAGCACCAGCAGCAGCAGCGGCAAACACAGCGTCACCAGCCATCGCATGACCAACCAAGCCAGCAGCAGACGGAGTATCGAGGCGTGGAGAGCACAGACGGGGCATCGTACGACGTGCACCAGCACCGCCACCAGCAGCAGCAATTGAAACCACCTCAGCAGCAACAATCTTACCACCCGCAGCCGCGCCAGCAGCAGCAGACGGAGTACCGAGACGTGGAGAGCACGGACGGGGCGTCCTACGACGTGCTCTGCTGGGCGTGCGGCCTCTGCCTCTCCCTCCCCTCCTTCTCCCCCAACTTCAAATGCGGCTACTGCGGCGCCCTCACCCTCCAATCCCCCCGCTCCCCCTCCTCCCCCTCCCCATCCCCCCCCTCCTCTAGTGCGCCCGTGTCCTCCGCCTCCGCCCATTCTGTGCCAGATAAGCCGCTAAGGCAGAGGCGGTGCAGGGCGTGTATTGCCGCGTGGGATATGCTTGTGCTGACAGTGGTTATCCTTCTCATCACCTTTATTATTGGTAAGCACGAAGCGAGATGCGAGTCACCTCCTGTGCGAAGATCACTAGCCGCCTCAAGAGTCACCGAGTGTGCGGCTGCGTGGGATATGCATATGCTTGTGCTGACGGTGGTTATCCTTCTCATCCTCTTTATTATCCTTATGCGTTACACGACACAACTACTGTGGTTCTTGTCATAGCTATGTCTCGCTGGTCTATTCAGGAATTTGGAAAACCAACTCAACTCACACGTCGTCTCGCTACTTCCTCGTCGTCTCGTTCCTTCCTCGTCGCCGCGCTACTTCCTCCTCGTCTCGCTACTTCCTCGTCGTCTCGATAGTATGTTTTGTTACATCTACTTCCTCCCCCCTTCATCTCCTCACATTCCCTCCTCTCCCCTCCTCTCCCATCTTCTCCTCTCCTCTCCCTCCATCCTCTCCCCTCTCCCCTGCCCTGCACTGCATCTGATAGCATTCTCACCACCTCGTATTTCAAGTGTCCCCTTACCCCGCACATTGCCGCTCACCTTTTCCCATCATGTGTGCCCTCTCCACCCTGTGCCAAGTGCATCTTCTCCCTTCTCCCTTCTCCCTTCTCCCTTCTCCCTTCTCCCTTCTCCCTTCTCCCTTCTCCCTTCTCCCTTCTCCCTTCTCCCTTCTCCCTTCTCCCTTCTCCCTTCTCCCTTCTCCCTTCTCCCTTCTCCCTTCTCCCTTCTCCCTTCCCCTCTTCTCCTCCCTTCCTCTCTCCTTCCGTTCCCTCCATTCTCTCCTTTCCCCTCCCCCCCCTGCCCTTCACAGCTGGCGCCATTCTCACCACATTCCCCGTCATCTGCCCCCTCCACCCCCCCTCCCCTTCATCCTGTGTCAAATGCATCTTCGACCTCTTTCCTTCTTCCCCTCCCCCCCCTTCCCTCCCCTCCCCTCCCCTCCCCTCCCCTTCCCTCCCCTCCCCTCCCCTTCCCTCCCCTCCCCTCCCCTCCCCTCCCCTCCCCTCCCCTTCCCTCCCCTCCCCTCCCCTCCCCTCCCCTCCCCTCCCCTCCCCTCCCCTCCCCTTCCCTCCCCTCCCCTCCCCTCCCCTTCCCTCCCCTTCCCTCCCCTCCCCTCCCCTCCCCTCCCCTCCCCTCCCCTCCCCTCCCCTCCCCTCCCCTTCCCTCCCCTCCCCTCCCCTTCCCTCCCCTCCCCTCCCCTTCCCTCCCCTCCCCTCCCCTTCCCTCCCCTCCCCTCCCCTCCCCTCCCCTCCCCTCCCCTCCCCTCCCCTCCCCTCCCCTCCCCTCCACTCCCCTCCCCTCCCCTCCCCTCCCTCCACTCCACTCCCCTCCCCTCCCCTTCCCTCCCCTTTACAGTTGGCGGCATTCTCACCACATTCCCCGTCATCTGCCCCCTCCACCCTCCTTACCGCCACCACTCCCCTCCTCTCCTCCCTCTCCCCCTCCCTTTCCTCCTCCACTCCCTCATCACTCTCCTCCTCTCTCTGCAAACCATCTTCAACTTCCTCTGCTCCGCCCTCCTCCCTGCCGGCCCGGTCAAGCGCATGGCCTTCGGCTCAGCAGACTTGCCCACTGTATCATCAGGTGGGTCAAAACAAGGTTACCAGGCTACCACCCTCTCTCCCTTCTTCCCTTCCTATGCTCCGCTCTCCTCCCCGCCAGCCCGGTCAAGCGCATTGCATTCGGGTCAGCAGACATGCCCACTGTATCAGCAGGTGGGTGGGTGCTCTGGTGTAGAGTGTATTACAATATTCCCTGCGAGGAGGGGTAGCCCGTGCCCTCCTCACACTCCTCCTCTCCCTGCAAACCGTCTTCAACTTCTTCTGCTTTGCCGCTCCCTGCCGGCCCGGTCACCCGCCCGTGGCTTTCGGATCAGCAGGCATGCCAACTGTATCCGCAGGTGGGTTTGCACAAGGTCACCAGGTTACTGCCCTCAATCCCTCTCCCCCTTCCTCTCCCCCCTGCCAGCCCAGTCACCCGCGTGGCTTTCGGATCAGCAGACATGCCCAGCAGGTGGGTTTGCACATTACCAGGTTACCAGGATCAGCAAACATGCCCAGCCGGTGGGTTTGCACATTACCAAGTTACCAGGATCAGCAAACATGCCCAGCCGGTGGGTGTTCAGGCGTATTGCCTTGCCCTCTGCAAAACCCACTCCCTGTTGCGTCCTTGCATCCACCGCCCATTCCCTCCCTCCCTTGCCTCTCAGGTTCTTTCGACGGCTGGAAGTTGTGCCGCCGTTGCCACCCTGCTCGCGCCAAGGCCCCCGGGGACCGTACTGCTACTGCCCTATTCTTGAGGCGCCTCAAAAATAGACTCCTCACGTACTGTTACTGCCCTATTCTCATCATCCATTTCCTTTCCCTCCCTTCAGGCTCGTTCGACGGCTGGCGGTTGTGCCGCCGCTGCCACCCCCCGCGCGCCAAGCCCCCCGGGGCTCACCACTGCGGCAGCTGCGGCACGTGCGTTATGGACATGGACCACCACTGCCCGTTCGTGAGTCACTCATGAGTCATATATCCATGTGCCTGTTTGTGGTTATCTGCATCTGGCTGAGTCCATTCCTGCACCACCCACCCCGCCCGTGCCAAGCCCCCCGGTGCTCACCACTGCAGCAGCTGCGGCAAATGCCTTATGGACATGGACCACCACTGCCCGTTTGTGAGTATCCCCCCTTAGTGCCTTCCCCCTTAGGGCGTCCCCCCTTAGGGCGTCCCCCCTTAGGGCCTCCCCCCTTAGGGCCTCCCCCCTTAGGACCTCCCTGCACATGCACCACTCACCCACCTCGTGCCAAGCCTCCCAGGGCTCACCGCTGCAGCAGCTGCGGCACGTGCGTGATGGGCATGGACCACCACTGCCCGCTTGTGCGTCTCTGCCCTTAGGTGTTTCCTCTCATGGAACATGCATGATGCATCCTCCCCCTGCGGCCTGCCTCCTCTTCCTTCTCTCCACCATCCTCAGCTGCTCCTACGTCGGCCTCATGGCAGCAACCACCCTCTACCTTGTCGTGCTTCTCCCATTTCTCCCTCTCTTCTTAGCTATCCTTCCTCCCTGCCCTCCTTCTTCCTTTGTCCATTCCGCCTCTTGTAGGTGATGACTGCTGCCGTGGGACCAAGCTCTCCTTGCCTTAACATTCCCTTCTCCTACTCCCTCGCCCTCTCCCTCTCCCATTCCTCTCCCACTCCCTCTCCCCCTCTCTCTCCCACTCCCTCTCCCCTTCTGTCTCCCACTCCGTCTCCCCCTCTTTCTCCTGCTCCCTCTCCTTCCCCTTCCTCTCCCCCCTCTCCTCCCCCCACGTCCGTCCCTCAAATCAGATCGGCAACTGTGTGGGGCGGGCCAACCAGCGGCACTTCCTGCTCTTCCTTCTCTCCACCATCCTCAGCTGCTCCTATGTCTGCCTCATGGCCGCAACCACCCTCTACCTCCTCCTCCCCACTCTCGACCTCACCCCCCACATGCCCCACACTCCCCCTGCCGATCTCACCACCCTCCTTTCCACTGCCACGAAAGCTTTTGCCGCTGCCCTTTGGGCTGCCCGAAAATATCTTCCGATCCGGGCGCTTATCGCGTTTTACCTCTTTACTCTTGCACTCGGCACGGGGATTTCTGTCTCCCTCCTACTGTACCAGCAGTTAGACTTCATATTATCAGGGGAGGGGGGGTATGTAGACTCGCTAAAAGCGAAAAAAGGAGCCGGAAATGACAAGGTGATGTGGGAGGGAGCGAAAAGGGTTGTACCGGGGAGAATAGTGGATCGGCGTCAAGAAGGGGTGTGCTCACTTTGTGGGAATGGGGTTTGGACTAAATTGTTTAATCGGTCTGGTGTAGATGTATACAGGGCTTTTAGGGGGGTGTTTGGTTCTGGCAGCCCTTGGTTTTGGTGCTGTCCTCGTGTTAGGGCTCCTAGAGGATCATTAGCAGCGAATTACGATGGAGTGAAGGATCTTTGAACTATTTACTCTTACGTATTGTTCCGAAAGTTTTGGCACCACATGTTTTTGTGTGATACGGTGAAGACTTGAAGAGAGGGCGGGCTTTGATATTTTATCATTGATCAAAATAGAGTCTCTATTTTGAATGCAGGCATCATAAGTGTACACAGAAATCATAAGGGATGAAGGTTACCCACTGCAAACCAGAGACCACAAGTGTACTGCTGTGCTGTGCCTTCCAAATGCTGGAGAGACATAATAGATCTGGAAACAGCAACTAGAGCAATTGCGTTGAGACTGTATCCCGGAACCATATATAAAGAGAAGACAAATGATGCCACCCCACACAGGTCACAGACAAAAACTACCACTTGCTGCAGTGCTGTTGGCTTGTAGTGAGGGTTGGGGGGGGACTGGAAGGAGCAGGGCAGTGGTGTGACTACAAGCAGAAGTGATGCTACGGAGGGCAGTAGGTCCTCTAAAGGGGCCATGGATATTGACGCCTGGTAGGGGCAGGGGAAGTGGGAGGGGAAAAAGCAGGGGCAAGGAAATGGTTAACGTCTCAATACTAAACTACTTAACCACAACCTTCACCATTTTTGAGACGTCTCAAAACTGAACTACTTAACCACAATCTGAACTATTTTTGAGACGTCTCAAAGCTAAACTACTTAACCATGGATATTGAAGCCTGGGAGGGGCAGGGGAAGTGGAAGGGGAAGACGCGGGGGCAAGGAAATGGGAGGAGGAAAGAGATTGGGTGGAGGACTGGGGGGAGCTGGAAGGTGGTGTGACTATAACAAGTGATGCTATGGAGGGTGGCAGGTCCTCAATAAGGGCCATGGATATTGACGCCTGAATGGGGTAGGGGCAAGAGGAGCGAGCAGGGTGACTTTTGAGTCGACTCAAAAGTCACCTTAGGTGCTCAAGAAGGGCCATGGATACTGATGCCTGAATGGGGTAGGGGAGCAGGAGAGGAGGGAGAGGAGAGAGGAGCAGGGGAGAAGAATAGGAGGGAGAGGAGGGCGAGGGCGAGGAGGGGGAGGAGAGGAGGAAGAGTGCGTGGGAGAGAGTGGGAGGGGGTGGGAGGGGGTGGGAGGGGGTGAGCTAAAACAAGGGAGGGAGCTGGAAACGGGTAGTTATAAGCAGCAGAGGAAAAAGGGTGTGTGTGGAGAGGGAGGAGTGTGGGGGGGGGAGGAGGGGGAAGAGGGGGGAGGGGGAGGAAACTGACCTTGGCATGCAGGTGAGCGATGAAAGGGGGGAGATGGAAGAGGGTAGTTATAAAGAGGATGTGTGTGTGGAGTGAGGGGAGGCACTGAGGGCGGGGGGAAGGGGGAGGAGGGGGGAACTGACCTTGGCATGCAGGTGAGCAATGAAGGGGGGGAGATGGAAGAGGGCTGCAAGTAGCAGCAGGAAAGCGTCGGCCAATAGGAGCTCTGATACCAGTGTGAAAGAGGACCTGTGATTGGTGAATCGGGTCATGCAAGGAAGGAGAGATGATATAAAGGCATAAAAACCCCAAAACATAAATCCTGAATGACGAACATAAAAACGGCTAGTAAAAAGGCTAAGCGTTGCTAGGCTAGAGTGACCTTGCCCGAGTGAACACCACTGGGGTGCCACGGTCTTTACGTGGCAGCAACTGATTACGCTTAGTAAAGAGTGTTTTGTAAAGGGTAAGCGTGGCTAGGCTAGAGTGACCTTGCCAGTCTCCCGATTAGCCCACCAGCCATGAGCTTACCTTGGCTTAACTTGAGATGTACGCCCGATTTGAACATAAGCAGCGAGGAGGAGGGCGATGAATGGGGAGAAGATGGAGAGGAGAAGGAGCAAGAAGACGAAGGGGAAAGGGGAGACGAGGTGTGTTCTGAGTCGACTTAAAACCCACACTCCTCGAGCTTACCTTGCCTTAGCCCGAGATGTACGCCAGACTTGAACAACAGCAGCGAGGAGGAGGGCGATGAATGGGGAGAAGATTGAGAGAGGAAGGAGCAAGAAGAGGAAGAGGAAAGGAGGCCAATACCCCTGTTGATGGGCAGTAAAGAGTTTGAAACAAGACAGAGATGGGATTGTGGAGTTATGTTTCTTTTTAAAGCAGAACAGAGGTTTGGCGTGGTTGCAGTAGGCGAGGGAAAAGAAGGATACATATTGATGGTTATGTTGTACATTAGAGACGGCTGGTCAACTAGGCTGTAATTTGAGGCGCCTTGAAATGTTTAAAGGGGTGTGCTTTGACGGCCCTGAGAAACGATGGATGGCACTTATATGCACTTTGAGTCGCATACAGATGCATTAAGATAAGCTTACCGTGCCAGTGTTTGTGCCTTGATCTGCCCAAGAGTCAGACTGGGAGCCGGCACAGCAGGAGAGGACCTTAAGAGTCACTTTTAGCAAAGCGACAAGGAGGCAGAGAGCAGCAGATGCAATCACGACTGCAACGGAGAGTGACAGGAGCGCTGATGTCAGCGTTGAGAAAATACAGCTTAGCATGCACCGTGCTGATGCAAGGAGAGGGAGAAGTGACGTGGCATGGGGTGGTTGGTTTGGGTCGAGGCGGAGGGGAGAGGGGAGGAGGGAGAGGAGTGAGGAGGGAAGGGAAGAGTGGAGGGAGGAGTGGAGGGAGGAGAGGAGGGAGGAGGTGAGAGTGTGAAGGAAAGAGGTGAGTGTGGGGGAGAGTCTTGGGAGGGAGGGGAGGGAGAGGAGGAGGGGAGAAAGGAGGGAATAGTAGGGAGGGAGAGGGTGACAGGAGGAAGAAGCAGAATGGGGCTGGAGATAGGGGAATAATGAGTGCGTGAGGCGTGAGTCTAGAGGGTTTGAGGGAGGGAGGGGGAGAGTGGAGTGAGAGGAGTGAGAAAGGGAGTGTAGGAGAGAGAAAAGGATGGCAGAGGAGAGTAGGGAGCGTGAGGTAGGGTTAGAGAGAGAAGGCCAAGGAGACGAGGCAGTGAGAGAGAGGAGGGAGGGGAGATTGTGGAAGGAGGGGGGAGGGAAAGAGGAGGGTGAGGGGGAAGGTGATGTAAAGGCTAGTGGGCTGGATGTTGAAGTGGATTGGGAGTGAGAGCGTGAGAGTGAGTGAGTGAGGGAGAGTGAGTGAGAGAAGTGGTAGGAGGAGGCGCAGAGCGTGAGGGAGAGGGCTGAGCCGATGAGGAGAGGGAGGGAGGAGAGGAGGAGGGAGGTGAGGGAGCGAGGGAGGTCCACGGAGAGGAGGAGGGAGGAGGGGCACGAGGGGTCGACCTGAAGGGGGGGATGGATGAAGGGGGTTAGGGGGTAGAGGCGATGTCTATTTTTTAGGCGCCTCAAAAAGAGGAGATGAGGGTGGGAATAGGGTTTGTGAAAGGCAGGCGATGAGGGAATTCTAGCGAATCTTATTCTTTTGAGTTGACTCAAGAACAGGTTCTAGTGAACCTTATTTTCTTCCCTCTTCCTCCTTTCAAATGCAAGAAAAAACGTTGGGTTACGTGGAAAGGGAAAAAATAATAGTAGGGGGGGGGGAGGGGAGCTTGACGCATTCATGCCTTACCAGCAGCATCAAGGAGAGGCCACTCGAGGAACCGCCACTGCCATTGCCACTCTGAGAGTGGCAGTGTGGCTCTGATCCCCCGCTTTCCTCTTGATGCTTGTGCGAAAGGTAGTGGCAGTGGTGGTGGTGATTGCCATGGTGGTGATTGCAGTGGTGGCAAGAGGGGCGAGTGAGGTGGGGTGGAGGCGAGTCGAGCTCTAAAAGGGCGGACTGATGGAAGGTGTGGGTATATTGGATCTTATAGCTCCCTTGACTGGACCCGTGCCCTGGGCCACCGCCGGCTGTCGCAGCCTCAGAAGCAGCGGCATCAGCAGATGCCAGAATGGCGACAGCAGGGTGGCACCCGGTGGAGTTTGGCTGCATTTCTGCGACAGAAAGGAGAGAGAGAACGGGTGGGGTGAGTGGGGGGGGGGAGAGAGTGGTTGGAGGAGGTGGAAGAGTGGAAGTATGGAGACATGGAGAATGGAGGGAATGGGGGAGATGGAAGACCGACAGGTGGAGGAACGTATGAGGTGAAGGTGGGGTGGTGGTTGGTTGAGTCCGCAGCAGGCGAAGAATTTTGAGTCGACTCAAAAGTTATCTCGAGTCGAAGTCATTGTTTGAGTCGACCAAAAAATGGGGGAGACGGAAGGACGAAAGGTGGGGGAACGTACCAGGTGAAGGGGGGTTGGTGGTTGGTTGAGTTGGCAGCAGGCGAAGGTGGAGAGGGAGATGGACAGCAGCAGGCAGGAGGGAGTGAGATGGGGGAGGGAGAGCTGGAGGAACGTACCAGAAGGATGGGAGGTGGTGGGAGAATGAGAGGGCAGCAGGCGAAGGTGGAGCGAGAGATGAGCAGCAGCAGGCGGGAGGGAGAATACTGAAAGAAGCTGCTGCTGCTGCTGCTGCTGCTGCTGCTGCCGTTGCTGCTGCTGCTGCTGCTGCTGCTGCTGCCGTTTCTGCTGCTGCTGGTGTGAGTGCTGTCCGTTCGCCTGCGGCTTCCCCTGCTGCTGCTGCTGCTGATAGGATGAGCCTGATGATAATGGCTGAGTGTTGGTGAGGAAGGTGTTGGAGAGGATTGGAAGCACGGGCAGTTAAAAAAAAACTACTACACGAGCACACAACAGGGCAAAAATGTGATTGCATGAAGTGTCTCCTTTCAGACTTTTCGGCAAAAGCATGGGCTGGTTTAAAGTATTCAGGATGGGCGGGGGGAAGTGAGGGGTGGTTGGTGGAGTGGGGAGCAGGGGAGGAGAGGGGGCTGAAAAGTGAGGGGTTAACTCTGGCTTGGCTTACCAGGTGCAGAGGTCGAAAGATGGAGGAAACCAAGGATAGGAGGGAGAGGGAGTTGGAGGGAGAGGAGTGGGATGGAGAGGAGGAGGAGGGGGCGAATGGAGAATGAAGGGGGAGCGGCGCCAGTCCCACAGAAAGGAAGTGGAGAGGGGGCCGAGGTTTGCCCTGTGAAACAATAGAAGAGATGGGGAGCATAGGTATAGGAAGAAGGGGGAGAAGGAAGAGTAGATGGATGGTGGGATTGTGGATGCGTTTCTTTGCTATCTAATTTTCCTGTGCCTCCTCAAGTATTGCCATTGATTTGATTTGATTTGATGGTGGAAATTGGAATACAGTGTAGGGTGTTTCTATTGGGTTTGCACCGGGGCTTGAACTCCAGACAGACCTTGGTACTGATATTCACATGGAAAGTAGCAGTTATTACGCCCCCCCTTTTTGGTATCTCCAGAGGCAGCATGAGCAGGGAAAGAGGTGTCGGCTGGGGAACCTGCCCTGTGACGTGC